ACAAATTCAGGGACTCTTTTGCAGAACTGGGCTGAGCTGCAGGCTGTGTAAGATGTAAGTCGTAAAATATCTAGAGTCATGTAAAGTTACCAACTCTTCCTGCATCGGTAACACATGTGGGAATTTGGAGAAGTTGTACATCTTCATTCCTGTCGCTTTTTTCCCAATTTTTTATTAAATGAACAGTATTTTATTTTATTTTTTTAAATCGACCTTTCTTTTTCTTTGATGAATGTCGTCGTAACTTTGTGGTACTGCACAAAAGACACTTCTGTCCACATGCAGAGAAAAATGACCCAACAGTAATTAAAAATGTGACATGAGCATGAAACACCTGTAAACTGCGAATGATAAAGAATTCTGGATGGAAATCTTTGGGAGAATTTTGTAGCCAATCCTGTTGTTGCACTACTGCAAACATATGCAGAAAAGAAACACATTTTAAACTTTATTTGGAAAAAATCCACCAAACTTCTAAAGCAGTTTTTAATCTGATTTGACTGATGATTGTGTACATACATCCTGGTGACCATTGAAATTGCATTTCTGACTTTCTCTCCATTCATTTAGATTTAGATCTTTGGCTTGTGTGAGTACTGCGCAAGATGTACAATAATACATTTCCCTGGAATTGAAAGTACTCAAGTAAAGTACCTCAACGCTGTGCCTAACTGCAGTAAAGCACAGTGGGTAAATGGACTTTTCTACCTCTTCACATAAAATCTGATGCCCTTCACATAAAACAGATGACCTGTGCAGAAATGTTCGCCGGGTGATGTCTGCTAATATAATGAGCTATGAGGTGTTTGTAGAGCAGATCTGGAGCGAGGGCAGGATGCAGTCAGCGGTGACATGCTGCACATCTGTCAGTCTGCTTCCTCCTGACAGGAGGCGTGCGAGAGGAGGGGGGTAGAGAGCCTGCCGACAGCCAGCTGTTAAACTAAGACATGAACGGCGGAGGCTGACAGGACCTCCGCTTTGAAGTGACAGCTACCGCCATCAGGCCGCTAAAGCGTGTCATCAATAGGTGCAGCGAGAGGGTGACAGGTACAGTCAGGGGAGGGTCGCAGCCTCAGACAACATCTAAAATATTACTCTTTGGTTGAGGGGATTCATTCAGTCCAACCAGTTCATGAAAGCTGACATTTCAAACCTGCTGTTCGGGTATTTGCTCCCAGGTGTTTTGTCAAAATATAGTGGCGTGTGTGCGCGTGCGTTGGCTTTCTTTTCAAATGGTAATTTGCTTCTTTTTAATTATTTTTCCAGAAATTAAAAGCAGAGGGGTTTTTCAGCGTTGGTTGGGCTCTACCTTCTTTAGAGTGTAACACGCTAATTGGCCTTCAAGGTTGAGTTTGTTAACCTGTTACCAACAATGAATGTCAGCGGATTCATTACCAGCAGGAAAGCAGAGCACTTTTAGCAAGATAATTGTTCACATCTCATAGGGCCACTTAACAAACACCGAATACATAAAATTAACAATGTTATGCATTTTTTAAGTGCGTCCTCTCCAACTTCTTTCTCAACTTTCCCACGAACAAAAAGGTGTTTAAAACTGATCTGGATCTTTCAATTTCAGCAGTTTCATCATCATTCAACCAAATGTCTTCTCAAATGCAAATTGTAGAAACACTTTTTAAAAAATATATATTTTAACAGATTTTAAAAGTAATTTAACAATTTCTTACAGACTTTAACTCATTAAATCACATAAAAGCATGTTGACCCTAAAAACAGGCCGAAATTGTAAATGATGTCCACATCCAAAATCTGTATAACACAAATTTTAATTGTTCTTTTACAGTGTTTGAACATAACATGACACTATTTTTACTGTACTTACATCAACAAGTGTCATTATTTCACAGTTATTTGCAATTTTAATAATGAAAATGTGTATATCAAGGATTGAAAAATGGTGAAATATTTTAACTGTTATTTTAGAGATTCAGTTTCTGTTTTGTAAAATTACAGAGACAATGTCGAGTAAATTTGCAGAGCAAAAGCATTAATTTACATGTTAGCCCTAAAAATAAGGTCCAAACTGTACAGAAAGTCCTCAAATAATCAGTATTTTTACAAATAGTAGATGTGTTCATTTACTCCGTAGACTAGAAATACAGTTTACTGTATTTAAATCAGCTAGAAATGTCACTATCTTCCAGATGTTTGCTACTATCTTTACAGTTTTTGAACGTTACATCACCCACATGTTTTTCTTGGCGTCCTTGCTGCCAGATTTTCACAGTTTTTCTGCATATTTTCTTTTCCATTATAGAGGATGCACTTGTTTGCTATACAGAGGAGGGGGTGTCGTGGAATATGTGCGGTGAAAGATGTAAATACAGAGGGGTTGCAGAGGCTACACAGACAGCTGCTCGTGTTTACTCCTGCAAGTTATGCGTCCTGTTAGAGACTGCCGATAAGTACATGGAGCACGATTTAGAAATGTACTCCCCTTTTCAGCAACACTGGAAATTTTCCTAAGCTTCCCTCTGCAAAGCTTCGACTCACAACATTTGCTGCTCTTTCATTGTTATCTGACTCACCGGATGTAGACTGTGAGTATCAGCCTGTCATATTTCATGTGGCATTCTCCTCCCCTTCTACTATCTGTGTGTTACAGTTTTCAAAATCCCTTTTTTTCCCCCTGCTGAAAACAACAACTTACAAACAGCCACAGTAAAGCTGAAAACGGTGAGTTCTGATGACGATTTGGAAGGCTTTTGGTGAAGGGTTGTAAAGATCCACATAGAATATATTTGCTGATTATTTACAGACTGCACCGTTGCTCCATTCCCCATTCTAAGAAACCAGAGCGTCTTTTTTTCCCTTCATAGCAGAATGATGACAGGTGCAGTCAGACCATTCTCCAGCACTGAAACACTGACACGCTGACACGTCTGGCTGTGAGAAACTGTTATCACTCAAACCCTAAAATAAAGCTGTCAGGTTCCAATCATCAGTTCGATAAAACACACCTCCTGCCACAACAATTTCCTCAGGAGAGACACCTTTTGGCACATCATTGTCTGGATATTTGTGCCACTTAAAGCAGCCACAAGAACTCGTGCGGAACAAACTGGAGATTTTGTCCTCTGATCCAAAACACACCCAAAGAAAATCTTAATTAATTTCACATTCAAAAGGGGGCCCGAGGGAAGTAACAACCAATAAAACATTGTGTGGCTTTTTCTATTTAATTGCAAGTGGATGGCTTGTTTTTATAGTTCAACAAGGCCCGCAGTGTAATTAGATTATCCCAGTTAGATCATTATGTCAATAACTTAAGTTGATCTACCTAATTGTTCTAAGTCACGATCGGCAGAGTTTAAACCACATAACGTGTAAAAAGTGAGATATTGAAAAACAGATATCCACTCATCTTATGTCAGCTCTACAAATAAAACAAGGGATTTAATAGGATTCAGATTCAATAAGCACATTTTAAACTAAAACTCCAATAATGAAAACCTGAACATGAGCAGCAAAGTCGCACATGGAAAGTCATAATTCTTCAAGCAATAAAAGAGACTTTTACAGAAATGACATGTACAAACGGCAGAGAAAAATCTTCCTAGTCAGCGACAGACAGACAGTTTTTATAGGGGTGGCCACGCTGAGACCCGTACTCACATTGGGGTGACACAGAAACTCTTTTCTCATATATATAGATATAATTTTTTTTTTTTTTTGTGTGTGGCAAATTGCTGCATCCCAAATAGTCTAATTGTTCTGGTGGGCCAGACTGGACCACATATGTGCTTTGATTAAGTCCACAGCAAACTCTTAATCATACACACTTTAACTCTTTAAAATATTAAAATGCAGATGCATTTTGTACTGTCTGTACCTTTTTTTGACAACAAAAACACTGAATTGCTAAAAAAAAACGAAGTGGTTGGTTAGAACTACTTGGTTCTATGAGTTTAAATGTGATGTTGCTCCACTGTTCAATAACAATAGTCTGACTCACCGGATGTAGACGTTGGGTATAAACCTGCCATTTCTTGTATGCATCTCACACAGCTTTCCCCAACCCTTCTGTGTGTTACCATTTTCAAAATCCCCTTCGCTCTGAGAAACAACAACCTCCAAGCAGCAACTTACATGCTGAAAATGACCAGATGTGGATCGTGCATTGCAGTATGCCTGCTTGGTTCATTTGGTAAATTAGTCATTTTGATAACAGTGCTCGTCTCTCTGCATCCAAATGTTCCATCTAAACAGTTCCACCTTCACTATTTTGCAAGGGCACCATCGCTATGTGCTGGACGGAGGACCACCCAAGACGATGTGGTTTAAACAAATGCAAACAAGCAGACAGTTACAATGAGGTACAGTCAGACCATTCTCCAGTACGGACACAGCTCTGTAGAGGTAGGTCTAGATATGTCTAATTAATATAGGAACAATGGCTGTACAACAGTGGTTATGCAAAGGAAAAATTTAAATAAATAAATAAATAAATAAATCTGCCAGAAAACTAGTAGTTACTGGATTTAATTCCAGTTCTACAAACACATGCGTTGCCCTTTAATGGGCTTCACTAGTTTTAAGTTTGCCTTGGCCAAAGCTTTGCGCCGTCCCTGCCCCAAATATATAAACAGACAAAATGTTTTAAGTTGAGTGACTTTCACTTACCTTGCAGACATCTAAGAAGTGTTTATCTGCCGCCTAATGTCACACTTTTAATCATGACAGCAGCCCTATCTGATCATCTCCTCTGTCCATAGAAGTCATAAGAATAAAACAGACTAATGCATTCATTCAAACCTGCTGTCAAACAAGCGGCAGTGGAAATATTTTGGCTCACAGAGCCACCTACTGAAAAATAAATAAAGTATTACGACTCTGGCACTCCACACTCAGTGACTGTGCTGTGATTATCGGCCAAGGGCACTCGTCTGATCCGTCTGTGTGTGAAGTGTGAGCGACTTTTCTTATCAGGTGCGAGCAGAAAGCAGGTTGTGAGGCTGGAAAACATTTGGAGAACATACCGTAGGATATGGGGATGTCCAGATCGCCCTGCCAGGACATCTGCCCCGATTCGTCTATGGACTGCTGCGCTGTAAAAACACAACAACGGGCCTCTTGTTTATGGATCATTCTTAATCCAACACTGCTTCTGATTTATGAAGAACTTAGGAAAGACAATAGCGGGGAAGTCTACTGCTGCGCCGTGCTGCATTCACACTGGCTGCCTACAAAGTGTGTAAGTGTTACTTTGTCATTGGAAGTGTGGGTTTAATCATAGATAAGAAATGTGTGTGCGTGTGTGAGGACTGTGCAAGATGTCACTTGAAGCCATTATGAATCGTAATGCCCAACTTCCACTGCGCTGAAACAAAAGTCACATTCTTTGACTTTTTTTTTTTTAATTCTTTATTTTTTTTACTGCACAGTCATTTGGCAGAAAGAGGAGGACAGCATGACACAGTAGCTTAGTTTGCGAGATGATTATTAGTCTGAACTTGGTTTGCACTGCACTGTGAAGTGAAAAACACATAATGAGGATGGACTACCTTTCAAGTGGCCACGTCCGAGTGTAACGAACCCAGAGGAGATGAAGTTGTGCATGTCCTGGCCTCCGCTGCGCAGTGTGTCTTTTCCGTAATGCCCTGGTGAGACAAAAATTGGGGAAAATCAATATTCCTGCAAAATATTTGAGGGTGTAAGAAGCTTGGTGTTCTATTTGCCTAAAGGCAAGGTGCAGGGTTGGTGAAAAAGACTACTGGTTAAGCTGATTGATTGAACCAAGGACTCCCTCCATAGCAATCAGCCAGCAGGCTAGTCAGGCTAAATTCAAGACTTGTTAACCCAATTTCAATTTAAAAATGGGACGGTGTTTTCATCTGAAGGGCAGAAACTGAGGCTTTCAGAAACAATATTGCAGACACCCATGTTTGCTTCCTGACTGGGTCTTTTCAATCACTACATGTCCTTCACTGGTTGGTCACATTCATACCACATGACATCGACTTCCAAGCTATGTTTTGACCACCTTACACAGCAATGGGTCCACCTCATCGTTGGTCCAAGCAAAGAAATCTCTGGTCGTATCACAAGTTGATGTTCCTCTTCTTCCATAGTATTTTCCGAAACTAAGCAACCAACCCCCTGCTTCATGTTCAGCATCCCTCGTGTATGTGATTGATCGTGGTATGCTAAAACACTCATGGATGAAGCCTTAAAGACTGCAGATATTTCAGCTGTGAAGGTGTCATTTCAGGAACCCCTGGTTCCAGAAGTTCCATTAGTTTTCCCTGTAGACAGTATTATGTAAATTACAGTTTGAACATTTCTACCACTTAGCCCACTATGAAATCCCACTGGTGAAATCCCGAAAGCAAAAAATGAACAACAAAATATTTGGCTCTTCTGATTAAAAGTCAGTACAGGCCTGTGCATATATTACTTATCACAATTACAATTCTCAAAATGTTTAACTACAATTTGCAGCTTGAATCAATTTACTTTTCAGAATTTGGCACTGTAGTGTTCTTTTCACACATCCAACAGTGAAACCATCTGAATGGCAACAGCCGCTGAGGCTCATTGGCATGATGTGTCAGTGCAGATTCTCAGTCATCCAGGTCATGGTAATCCTAAGTGCTTAAATTGAGGGCAACTGGATTTCTTTTTCGTTCTTGTAGATGTGCTACCTTCCTCGCTTTAAACTGACTGATGTGGATTCCCAGGTATTTATTTAAGGCCATCTGTGGGTCATTAACTCAGCTCACATGAATCAAGGCTCCTCAGGACAAGACTCAGCAGTCTGCCAGCTTCTCAAAGATAAGGGACACTCCTCTGAGGACAGCAATGTCCACATTCTGGACAGAGAACATGGATGGTTTGAGAGAGGAGTGAAGGAAGACATCTTTGTTAAACTGGAAAAGTCATCATTAAATAGAAGAGGTGCCCTGCGGCAGTTTCACCACCACTCACACCTTGAGTCAGTCTCAGGCCATTAATGAGCCTTGATTCATGTGATTCAGTTTCGCGCCATCGACTAGCTCCAGGTGAGTAATGACCTGCAGGTGGCCTTAAATAAATACCTGGGACTCCTCACCAGTCAGTTACAACCGAAGAAGCATATTAGATAACGGTACAATGGCTACAAGAACCAAGAAGAAGTCCAGTTTCTCTCTAGTGAAACACCAAGGACCGTGGACACTCTAGTAATTAGACAACCCTGTCTCCACAAAATGACATTCTAAACTGTAGTAATAATTATGTTTAATGGGGAACATAATAAATGTAATTTGTCATTTGTGATGTTGTAGGAAAGGGGACCAGTTTGAAAAATCTGCATCTGAAGCTTGGAGAGAAAGATGGCGGAATAAACCAGAGACCGCTTTGTGATTAGGTTTAGGGAAATATCAATGATTTGCTGGACACTTTTACATGTTAAAAGTTCGGCACCAAAATTATTATTGTGGTTTGGGTTAAACCATGGCGCTACATGTTTGAAGCTTCTCCTCCATTTTTTAGGTTATGAGGGTGGCAAGTCCTGCCCCACCTAATATATGATTGGTATGCAAAGCTGCTGTAAAGCAATTCAATAAATGGCAAAGATTTGTTGACTACAAGTGTATTCGTGGTGCGTTAAAAGTAATACAGCAGGAAAAAGCCTCAAAATGTGATTGAGAATGCAGTTTAGTTGTTTAGGAACATCATTGGAGACCAGGCTGTCAAAAATTGTGGACAAAAGAGAGATAAAGTCTGTAAAGGCTGTCCAGAATTGAAGGTACGTTGGACATGAACCAGAGTCCGATGGTTCTCTAACACTGAAGGATATTGTGTAAAGGTACATTTTAAATGGTGGTGCAGAATGGGGATAAAATTCCCACTCCCAAGCTGTATAAGCCATGACAGTTGGAATAAGCTGTACAGTCCTTCACAGGTCAGCATTGTCAAGACGGTTTGTTGTTGGCCAAAGGTGCAAAATTCACCAAAATTTAATTTTACATGGATACACCTCAGTCTAATCTACTGATTGAAGCTATTCTGGTGAAAAGAATTAATTTCACTGAAAATGTTGAATTGCTTTTGTGGCTGGGTCTTTAAACTAAGTCGTATCTGTGTTCCGTTCGCAGCCCCTTCTGCCATTTTATAAAAGAGCAGACACGGACCAGAAGAATACTAAACAGGGCTAAAATGGCATAACTGACAAAACTGACTCTCAGGTGGGATCATTAACTCATCAATATGTGTTGCTCAAGGATGCCAGGGATGCAATCAACAGATTTCAGGGCCTTCATATCGCCCATTTGTCAATACTCCTCCTCTTTCTCCACAGTAACTGAAATCTTAAATTTAATTGGACAGTAAAATTGCAACGCGTTTGGCTCCTTGGAGGGAAGATAATTGGGGTTTGATACAGTTATTTTAAAGAAAATTTTGCTCCTGTTTAAGTATTTGGAGGCTTGTGTGTGAGAATGCAATGCGGTAAACCTCAGGTAGACACCCTCTTGGATTTCCCCAGTGTTAAAAGATCCGTAATGCAGTTTGCACCACATCACTGTTAACTCTGCTCTGAACCACTGATGTAATTGAGAGTGCAGTACGAACACAAAGGAGCAAGACGAGGTGCCTGCTAGCTCCGTGACAGTATTCAATTGTCCTGTCAATCACACACAAGTCTTAAAAGGAAATTAAAGAATGTAGCATCAACCAAGTGAGAAAAAGGAACAAAAAAAAAAATCCCACATCTGGAGAGCTGGTTTATCAAACCACTTCTCCTTCTTCTTTTAGCCACTTTCTCTCGCTCTCTGTTAGTCTGTTTCTACATTAACTGGCCAACAGTTAAATGCCTCCATCTCCAAGGAACCACTTCAAAGTCAATAACATCACTCAGACCTTCGGGCCTGGGGAAGCCGAGATCGAACAGCATTTCAAATTATCATAATGAGAAGAAACACCTGGGACCATTAGGCCTGGTCTTCATCACACCGAAGGTTGGCACTGAAGCCTCAGCAACACAGCTCATTTGTTTCTCTTTATCAAACCCAGAGGATGACTAAAAACTGATTACTGACGCACTCTGACCATCAATGTTAATTTGGGACTTTCGACAAAGAAATCAGTAAATATTCAAAGAAGCGAATAAACATACAGTGTTCACCTGCACGTAGTGATACTAACAATGCAGTGCTGCGTCTGCGTAGATGATACAGCACATCTATGTTTTGTCTCCCAGGGAGAAGTGCTGAGGATTCATAACCGTCGTATGCTCCAAGGACAACACCATGGAGCTGAAATCATGCAGCTGGAGATGCTGACGGGGATATAAATTGCTCCCATGTGGCAACATGAACCTTCAGCCCCTTATCATTTCTGAAAATGTTCCTACCTTATCTACAGTGCTTAATGAAAAAAAAAACATATAACCTTAACAGAAGTGGGATTGGCAAAGTACTGCTTGAATTGGCCTTCAGGGAAAAATAAACAGTCATCAAATTAGCAACTCTAGTGTTTCCACATTCCCGTCACGCAGGCTCGCAGTTAATGCCAAAAGGGTCATGTATTAAACATGAAAGGCTTTCTTAAATGACTGTTGCTGTTTGCATTACAGTCATCCTTCAGGAAAATGGAACTGTTAGCTTTGAAAACTGTGGTTCAACCAAACAATCTTAAGTCAGTGGTTAATAACGAAAAATTTTCTTTCACTTACATTTGCATCTTTATTAGTAAGGACAGAAAAGGCAGCTTTATTTGTGTAGCACATTTCATACACTGGGGCAGTTCAAAGTGCTTTACAACATCATAAAAATGTAGTTAAGGACACAGAGTTAAGATTTTAAATAGACCAAATGGTTTACAATTTTAATTCCCAATTGAAAATAGCAAAAGTGGAGGCATGAGATACATATCACCCACTTTAGGTCAGTATTTAGTAAATATACCTTTGGATGCTACTACAGCATTGAGCCTGTGTGGATACATCCCAGTTGATCTTGCATATCTGGACAATGCAATTTTACACCATTCTTATTTGCAAAACTGCTCAAGCTGCATCAGGATAAACTTCCCCCAAGTCACAGTTCTATTGCAAATGACATCAGATTTTGCTCCAGTATTTTCCTATATTTGGCTACATTCATTTCATCCTCTACCTTTACAAGCCTTCCAGGGCCTCCAATTGTCGTCACATCATGATGCTGTCTCCACCGTGCTTTGTGGTGTGTGTTTGTGATGATGTGTGGTGTTTGTTGTCTGCTCAACAGCATCCAGCCTTATTGCCAAAAAGCTCAGTTTTAGTCTCTTCTCACCAAAAAAAACCTTCTCCTGGTTGTAGAAATCTGTTTTCACTTTGATGTGAAAGAGTCTTTCTGGTAAACTTTTGCCAAATTACAGTAACTGTGATTCAGTAATGAAAAACAATAACATGGGAAAACTTCCAAAGAAGGTGAATACTTTTAAAGGCACTATATGTCAAAAATATGTCTGAGATGTACTGAGGTGCTGAGTCACTCAGTGATTTATGCACAAGTACGATTTCGGAATCAGTTCTCTGAAAGACAGGTAGCCAGTGTAAGGATTTTAGAACTGGAGTAATGTCGTCCTATTTACATGTTTTAATCAGAACCAAAGCAGCAGTGTTCTGAATATGATGAAA